TCTGGTTTTCTAGGTGTCTTAGTTCTATTTGCTTGTTTGCTTATTGCTATCAAGTTACAACCTTTTCATAGCTGACCCTCCAAGCAGGTTTTTGGAAGCTGTAAATCACACAGAAAAAGATTGCCCACCTTACTACCTTAGAACAGCTGAGGAATTCGAACCAGAGACACGCCATCTTTTGAGTTTGTCGTGAAATTCCCTGTGGACCATGTCACCACAGCTCTTAGTTAAAATGCGGCTACAACAAATATCACAGTGGGTGCCTTTCACAAATAATTTTATTTTCTTATGGTGTAAGAGGCTCAAAGCCTGAAATGGGGCACTGGCCCTAGGGGAAGGCTTTCTCTTCCAGGCAGCTCTATGGGAAATTCTTGTCTCTACAGCGTCTGTTTCTTGGCTCCTTAGAGATCTCTTGGCAACTGTTTTCTTACATCTTTGCTTTTCTCTCTTGTTTATTTAAACTCTTTTTATATCTCAAATGAGATTAATTTAAGATAGACCTTATGCAAATCCAGAGTCATTAACATAGCATAAACAGTTCATTCCCTAATGAATTCCCAGCGCCTTCACATCCATTTCTCCTCACGGGAAACTTACATCTGATTTCCCAAGGTGCAAATCTTTAAGGGAAAAAGATCGCCCATCTTTCTTACTTAGAACCACAGATAGATTCAAGCTACAATGCCTTCAGTTAGGAGGACAACATATAATGCACTATCTCAGCAGAGTACCTTAGCAACAGGCATAGAGATTAGAATTTACAAAACGTATTTTGCCAAACCGAAGGTGGGTGATTTTAATCTGTGGCCCTCAGTGGGGTTCAGATTGTTTTCCTGTCAAACATTCTTCTAGGTGGTATAGCACTGGTCTGTGCATTGCTGTACAGAGGTAACTCGTGGTTGCTGTGATGCTGAAGACTGTGACAGTGATGTCACAATCGTGGCCCATCGTGGTAATGGGCACCCATGGTGGACAGTGTTGGCTGGAGCTTCCCGACTAAAACAAGCCTGGAAGCAGGAACGGCATCCACTTCCGAAGTGGCTTGCCTCCGGAATCTCTATGTACGAACAGTGCTCAGGCCTTTCATTCATAGGGTCGCTAACAACAACAACAATGTTTTGACAGATGTAATTCAGCCCATAACTTTATGGTAGAAGATACAACTTCCAAGATACATTTTCCTTGATTTTTCTACAAACTTTATATCTTAAGTCATTGTCTCTACTGGAAGACCTATAAATCAAACTCTGAGTTCTTTTCAGTTCACCTTTTACATAACATATAATGTTTGGCATTTCTTTAATATTTTCCTCTGAGGAACAATTAAGGTTCATGGATTCACCCAGACTTGAGAAAAGAGGCATCACTGTGTAAAAACATCCTCTTGGTTGTTACTGTTAGGCGCTCTCAAATCTACGATGACTCACAGTGACCCTGTGAATGTTAGACCTAGGCTTGCCCATCGTCCACCATCTCCAATATACCCGAGTCATCATTACAATTACTGTTCAGCCCATCTCATTGGGGGTCTTCCTCTCTATCCCTGACCCCTCTACCTTTGCCAGTATGATGCCTTTTTCCAATGACTGGCCCCTGCTGACAACATACCCAAATAATAGGAAATGAAGTTTCGCAGTCCCTGGCTGCAAAGAGCACCCTGGTTTCCCATCCTCCAGGACAGACTTGTTTACCCTTTTGGCAGTCCATGGGATAGTCAGGACTCTTTGCTAAACACTACAGTTCAAAGACATTGATACTTGTTTGATCTCCCAAACTTGTGAGTGATTTTAGCAAACAATTTATTTTCTCAAGATTAAAAAAAAAAAAAAACAAAACCAAAAACATCAAAAACCACAACACCTGGAAGTCCAAATTCAGGGCGCTGAAGCTTGTGGAAAGTGTTCAGCTGCCGACTCTGGGAGAAGGTCCGTGTCTTTTACAGCTTCTGTTCCTTGGTGGTTTTAGATGGTATGGTACCAGTCTCCTCTCCCCAGCTTGATGTCATAAATGAGGAGCTTACGCCTGATGTGACCTATTTACATACAAAGAGAACCCATTTCAGAATGAGATTCTAATCCCCTCTATAGGGGTTAGATTTACAGCACATATTTCTGGAGGACTCAAGTCTGTTTTTAAGAATTCTAAATTATGTAACTTTTAAACATTTTTATTTTGCATATATGTATGAGTAGAACACAGAGAACCATAGAAACGGTTTGTTGTTGTTTATGGTCAAGTTGAAACTGACCCATAGCTGACCCTCCAGGGGGTTTTCAGAGGCAGTTAATCACATGAGAGAAGATGGCCCATCTTACTCCCTTGGAGCAGCTGGTGGCATCGAACTGTGTGACTTCAGGATTGCAGTGCAGTGTCTTACTGCTAGGCCACCAGGGCTCCCAGAAATAGTAAGGAATGCAATCATATATGTATGTGTATTTGACATTTTAAAAACATGCCTTAGGGTAACAAAAATCACCATATCCCTTAGTGAGTAGAAAGTGACCTTTTTAAGTGTGCTGGGGGTTATGCTTCAGCCGATAACCAGCCCCCACTTTCTTGCACTTTGAGCTTGGAGATGTACAAGAAGCAACCCTGATGTCCGTGTTTCTGAAAGCTGCTTGTTTGTGCTATGAAACTATCTTCAAAGTCACCATGATAGAAGATTGCAGAGCTGGTGAAAGGCTAACCCTTCATTATGTATAAATAGTACCATTCAGATAAGGTTTACTTGAAGGTCAAAGATAATAGCCAGTCCAGAACACTCCACATTTTCCCATGAAGTGGAATTTTTTTTTAAAGTTGCTGACATGAGTAGACAAATCACTAATACTGATTCTGATAAAGGATTTTTCTTTTGCAAAGACTGTGCCTTAATTTGTTCTCCATAAAATTATCTAGTCTATGTATGTTGCCCCCTCTTGTGAGATTGATGACAATATTTAATGTATTGTTGGGTTTAATGTTTAAGTACCTTTTGTGACATGCTCACACTGTGATCTTTGAGCATCCTCCAAGTAAGAAAATACTATGCTTTCTCTGAATAGTAGACAAATGATTATTCTTTGCCAACTAGTTGTAAATGCTACCTTGGATTTCATGGGTGTGGTAAAGGTTTTGTTACAGAGGAAAGCTGGTGAGATTTAGCCTCATGACACATTAAGAAATGAAAGTAGATATCCCTTTTCCTCTTGGTTTTTGAATCTGAAAAGCTTAAACGTGAAGTGAAGTGGGAATAAAAACTGGGAGAGAGGCCTCCTGACTTGTGAAAGGTAACTATGAAATTATAGCATTTGCATTACTTATTGATGATCAAGTCCTATATGGATGTTTTCTGGTTGGATAAAGCTGTGAATTTCAAGCCTTTAATTTATAGTGTAGAGGCTTTGGTAGCCTAGTGATAAGGAGTAATGCTGCCAACCCAAAGGATAGAAGATCGCATCCGCTAGCTGGTCTGTAGGAGAAAGGTGAAGAGTTTCCACTGCAATTTATAGTGTCTAAAAATTTCTTGGAGAGTCAGTTGTGATTCAGTTCCTACTCAGGGCTCATAACCACACAAAAACAATAACCATATTGAATTTTTTATGATGAAAATAAGTAAGTCATTGGTACATGAATTAATTACTGGACAGCAATGTTCAAATCAAGGTTGCCTGGGTACAATGACATTATTTTTGTTTGTTTTATAGAAACAGTTGAGCATGTGTTCCTTACTTATTTGACAGGTAACTCGTGCTAATTGCTCAGATAAAGCAAAGAATTTTATAAGCACCGATCTCTGGTCAGCATTGTTTGTTCCTCTTTACTTTTTTAGGGCCATGGTAGATATAGGTATAGATTAGTTATAGACAGATATAGATATAGATGATATAGATGCAGATATATAGATATATTTTATTGTTTAGTCTCGAGGAGGGAGAATAAGACTAGAGCTAGTAACAGTAGGTCATATGCTTCCAGGGAAGATGAAGTGCTGAGAACTAAAATACTATTTTCTCATGTTCACTTTCCTAAAAATAGCCTCAGTATTGGGATAGTGGAAGTTTTACACCTTGTTGTGATTTTCCATACCTTTTAAAATAATTTTTTCTAAGTATTCAAACACACTCCTCTTAGTTAAAGGTTTCCAGAGGAAGGCAGGTATAGAAAATGATTTTCAGATTAATTCAATGTCCTTCTCATAGTTCTTTTTTTTTTTTTTTCGTTGCAGAAGCTTTATTGCTTCTCATAGTTCTTAATAGAATTATACAGGCTTAGTCATGGAAAAAGTTAGAAGTTAGGTATTAAGAAAAGTTCAGGGTTGGGTTTTGTTTTTTTTTTTTTCCCTTTATTCTGTCATTTGATATCTCTCATTTCAATGCATATAAAATTTGGGAGTCAACTGATTAGTAGTAAGTTTGATAATTATATCGATATTTTATGTAGAATTTTTACTTTAATGCAATGCTGACTCTTCATGTATTGTTTGACTCTTTGTTGTGCAGGCATTTTGCTGAGAATTTGATTTCGTATTGTTTTGTGTGTTATGGAATATATTACCCAACCGGTTTCACTAAAGAATATAGTTTGCAATTTGAATCTTTCCTGTTAAAATTTTAAATTATGTAGTTCTTATTATAAAACTTCACATAATGCCATTTTAATCATGTGGAATATTTAAGATATTTCTGTATTCCTCACAGGTAAAACTCACCACCTTGTTTAACCAGCTACATATTTTCCCTGTCATTTTAAACTTAAGATCTGCTTCTTTTTGATTGCTCGAGAATGTAGGTATGATTTTTTTTAGCCAAGACTTTTAAAATGATTCATTACTAGCTCTAGTCGACAGCACTTCAGATTATTTTTATTTCTTTTTTTTCCCCCTAGCGACAAATGCATGTTACACTTGCCATCGTGGTCATTGTGGTTCATTTCATTAAGCGTCTTGTTCTATCTGCTTTCTTGAGACTTGGGAAACAGTACTTTTCTGAGTGATTGTACCGTATTGTTCCAAATATAAGGCCCCACAGAATAGAAGGCAACCTCCAGCTAGAAACAGCTCACATGTGGAGAAAGGCTGGGGCCGGCGGGCCTTGCAGTGGTGGCGAGGGTGCAGAGCAATAGGAAGATGCCTGCCCGTTCTCCCGGTGAGTGAAGATGAGTCAGCTGGCTGCTTTTGCTTGTGCGCTGCCAGATGGCTTGTGTTGCTGGAGGAAAAGTTCTATTTGGGGGGGTAGACAACGCCCGTATAGCTGTGGAAGAAAGTTGCTTGTTTGCCTGTCTATGGGAGGGAGGAGGGGAGGGGTTTCTCATTACTAAACCATCTTCTTTAGCGTTCCTCTCCTGGAAGTGGGAGTGAAAGTGGACTAATGCCTGAAAAAAGAACAAAAGGTTCCTAAGAGTCTTCAGAGTCCATTGACCTTAAAAAGGAGCTGTTAGGGGAGCTGTGGTGGCCTAGTGGTAAGGAGCTGCAACTACAATCCCAGAGGCGCGGGGTTAGAATCCACCAGATGCTCTGCTGGGGAAGGAGGGACAATCTCCTCCTGTGCCAGTCAGATCTGATTTGACGGTACACTCACACACACACAAAATAATAAAATAAAAAAAATTTAAAAAAAAAAGGTGCTGTTAACACCAACCAGTAGATACCAGTTCAGAAAATTATTTCCTTGCCCTTGCAAGGAATGCACCTGCCTTACCTGCCTTCAAGGAGGCACATTCACGGTGTGACCATTTGCGTCTTGAAGACAAGCCCCTCTGAGGTTGGAAATCAAATTTCCAATTTTTAAGACTTTTTTTCCTCTTTGGAAAAAAAAAAAAAGGCAACAGAAACGTCCATCTCCTGAGCCACCCAACTAGAATTTAAATAGAAAAGGATTAGGCTTATTGAAGTAAAAACATTGTTTTACTGGCATCTCACTCCGTGATACGTTTTAAAGGAGTTTATTTACTAAATAACAGAACATGTATAATTTGAGTCTAGATAATGCAATACATATGAATATGTTTCTCCTAAGCACATGTATTACCTTTATCTTTATCTTTCTCAGTAGTTAAATGATATCTAATATAATGAAGTACTTGATTCTGGTGCTATACTCTGGAAAAGCATTTAATGCCTGTTGGTATGGTGGTGGCCCTTGGCTACCTCCCAGCTTCATAAAACTACATAAAAGATGAACCCTGGTCTTGCCTATTGATTAATTAGTCAGTGTCTCGAAGCCATTTCAAAGTAAAGTGTCAGTTTTTAAAGAGGGTTTTTTTACAACTGCATTGCAATCCCAAAAGTGTGTGGTTTGAATCCACCAGTTGCTCCGCAGGAGAAGGATAGGTAATCTCCTCCCGTGCAATTTACAGCCTCTGAAAACCCCCTGGAGGGTCAGCTGTGGGTCAGTTCTGACTCAGTGGGCACACAACATATACAGTCAGTCTAGGAAAGACCTTATTATGGTCTTTTTTATTTTTTGGAAAGTCTTAGAGAATAAGAGTATACCGGCATAGAAACTCATAAACTTATTTCTGGTAAAAGCTTATTCCTATATTTAGTTCTGTTTCTAGATAACTATAGACAGAATGGAATGTTTCCTTAGCTTCTTAAAATAATGTTAAATTACCCGAAGTGTTTCATTTGAGTGGGCTCTTCGGCATTGATTTTTAACAATTCCCTAAGTCAAGTTACCCTACAGAGTAGAAACCCTATGTCCAAGCAAAAGTATTCACCAGCTCTTTGAACCAGGAGAGTAGGGAGAAAAAACAAAGATTCGAAAGGAAGAATTAGAGGAAGGTAGATCAGAGAGAAAAGGGTTGGCTGTTAAACTGGGTTAGCAGTCAGTTGAACGATGGTATTGAAGGGATGGATCCCAAATAAGAAGGTCATTGTGAAGCTTCGAAACCTCTCAGAAGAGTTGGTTACTGGTGTTTCCAGTAGGGTTAGGGAACAAGAGAGGGTCAAGTACACAGGGAAGAATATTTTCCATTATTATCACCTTAGTTTGGGAACCCTTTGAGCTATTGAAAACAAATGAATGTCAGCAATTTGATGTGGTGGCTTGCATTCCTTAACCATCCTTAAGATTTGTATGGGTTTTCCTGCTGTTGTTTGTATCAAGTTCATGTTTGCTTTAAACTTGCTAAAACCACAGGAACACAAATATAATATGTAAATGATGGGGGATTTTTTTTACGCCCTGATGAGAGGAGGGTATTGTCATTGGTAATTCTTTGTCACCTTCAGCTATGAATTTAATTGAGGAGAGAATCTGGAGAGGTCATTTATATGCCTTATTCACTGCTCCTTCCTCTCCATGTTGACTAGTGAGGGTCGGGGAAGAACTTGATTCCATTGCATGACTTTTTGAACAAGGAAAACAACATGGCATCCGTAGGCTTGGGAGGTGACAAGGGATCTTCAAGAACATAGAAGAAATAACAGGGACTAGTGGACAAAGAACATACTCCAAATTCTAGAAGTAATCTTTGTGAAATGTAAGTGGGTGTTGGTGTTTATTTTACAAATAGTATGGTTTACCCAAGTCCACACCTATAACTTAAGCTGTCCACAGCTTCTACCCTCTCTCCCCAGAATGCACAACAGAGAAGCTTTCGTGTAGATACTTGGAAAATAAATATCTCCCCCTCCCTTTGTGAAAAACTCACTTGATATGATGGATTCAGGGATCATTTTCAGGGGATTAGATTTACAAGATCAGTTTAACTGGAACAATTGCTCTCTTTTCGTGTTTCCCAGGCATTTAAAAAAGTCTGTGGAGTTTTTTGTTGGTGAGTAGAAAGAGGAACTCTTCAGAAACTCTAAAAGTATAATGATCTCCATTAAAAGTAGGTTTGGAAAGCTCAGTTTGGACCGATTTTGGAGAAGTGAGTAGATAATTACTGCCCTCTTTTTTTCCCCCCCCAATTGTTGGCCTTTACCTGATCAGCACCTAGGGAAAAGTGTACACCCCTAGGGGGACGTTTCTTGTGCCTGTGGTCTTTACCGGTCAAATGAATCACCCCTCACCTCAGATTCCTCACCAGTTAAATGCAGAGTCCCAAAACTACGAGTCTATCATTTGTAACTTCCTTTGCTTTTCATTTGGAAAAGAGAGAAAGGAAATCATTTTTGAGCAAGAAAATACTGTGCTTTGTTAAATGTCTTTGGAAAATATGCCAGCCTACGCCATGGTAGGTCTTTCCCCTCAAAGAAGGGTTTTAATAAGGGACCGTTTCTCCAATGGAAGGATGTGTTGTGTCTGCGTTTTCTGAGACACATGGAATATGGCATTTGGCTTCCTGAGTGAGCACCTTTAACTTAGCTGTGGAGTAACTCATAAATTCTCTACTCTTGAGTATCTTTAAGTTAAAAAAAAATCATTCTTAGAATGTGCTTAATGGTCATTCCTTGGGGGCATTGCTCTCTGGTTAAATGAGAGATGGCAGGCATAGAGATGGCCTGTGGTTAAGTTTCCTCTCTGGTCACAGGAACAGCAAGGTGTATTCCAATTAGCAGAACAATAGCATCTCAGGACAGATCATTTTAGAATAACAATGACAGAGAGAAAAAAATTCCACAGAATGACTGATTTTCACGCAGCAGTTTAATTGTTAAATGACAGTCTGTGTCGCTTCTAAACAACTTTTGTTGTTGGTTTTCTACTAAGGGTTCTTTTAGGTTGTCATCAGGGGCTGATGGGAATAACAGTTCAGCCAGCTCGCCAGCTAGCTTCAGTGGACATACCACCCCTTCTCAGCAGCCTGAACCCGTGGTCCACTCTCTTAAGGTAACCGTCCGTGTGCAACCTTCTCTCTGGGCCTTCAGTTGTGTTGTGGCTTGTTTACTGTATAGTCTGGTAGTTCCCATGGTTGTGCTTGAATCATGGATTTTTGTTTGTTTTATTTGTTTGACGTTTCCTGGTGCAACTTCTTTACCTTACTTTTTTTTTTTGAAGTTTTCCTTTTTAATACAGTTGTGGGACTTTGAACGCTCACGGTTGAATATCTAATGCCATCCTTTTGTTTTGAGTACTGTGATTCATCTCTCTCTGCATCGACGTCCAAGTGTGGTGTGCATGTATATTCATATGTGCAAGATATTGTTACAGCTATTTTATGTGCAATGTGTGTAGCATGGCTGTCTTTAAATATAGGGGCTTAAGAGTTGGCTATAATAAGAAAAGACTATATTTTTTTCTCTCTCTATGGAATTACTGTATTTCCTATAACTCACTGAAAGAACATAGTTTGAAATACACAAAACCCTTACCCGTAAGTAGAAGTTGGATCATAAAACCTAGTTAATGCTCTTTAGTGAAGTATGGTTTTCTATATAAAAGTAGTTTTTAAACTTATATATCAGATTCAGCAGTGATTGAAAGAAACTGACTGAAATTTAGCCTTTATGTACTTGATTTAACAGCAAGTAGTTTCAAAACAAATACATCATAGGTAACATAGCTACAAATAATGATTAGTGGGAGTGGCATCCACTTCCTAAACAACATTCCTCCAGAAACTCTGTGAATTTTGATAAATGTCAGTAGTTGTAGAGGGGCATCAGGCCTTTTGTTCATAGGGTCTCTATGAGTCATGTTCGACTTGAAGGCAATCAACAACAACGACAACATTGGTATTTACCTAAGAGGAGAAACTAGCTAGGCTATTTAAAAATCATCTTTAAAATGTTGACAGTTCCTTGACATTTTATCAGTCCCAAAGTGTGGAAGAGTGCCCAAATAGGAAATTTCTCTGTTAATTCCTAGCGTACAGCCTTGATCAGTCTCTTCTGAGCCATACTGTAGGTAAACCTCTTCACATGAGTCTCAGTAGTGTTTTGGCTTCAGAATTCCTTACCATCCGAGTGAAGGTAGATTCTTCCTGTGATATGCATCAAACATTTTAATAGATGAGCCTTATAAAGATGTGCTTGGTTTCTGAGATGGCTTGATTTTAGCGTAAGGCTCACGTCCCTGATTATGTTTTGCTGTAGTGCGCATTGAAATGAGCTGCTTCTCTCAAACCTAGAGTGATTAGGGAGGAGGCAACGAGAACCTTGTTAGTAGCAGCCAGTGGCCAAGTAGCTGACCTTCCCTCCCTCAGCTGGAATAGCTCTCAAATGAGCAGTGAGGGGCTCTAGGGGAGGGCACGGCACCGTGGGGAATGCCTCTGTGCTGGTGTGTGGACTGCTGAATGTCACGCTTCTGCAGTGGCATTTAGGCAAGATCAAGTTCTGGCCCCACAAAGCTTTGGAGAAATGGAAAATGTGCCAGAGCTTAGTCCCCACTCGTGGAGAATGAGCGAGTTGCCACATAATCCAAATGCACCACATTGACCTACTTTTCAAACCGCTTGAAAGTTACTCCAATCTGCTGCCTTATTACAGGGCAGGTGCTGTTTGAATCACATCAGCAGAAGGGGTGCCTCAAGGCCTTCCCCGGATTTCTTAATTCACCCCTTAGCGTGGCCTCACAGGGAGGGATGGACAAGATGCCTCGGTTTCCTCTTCGCTTGTCCTCTTACTTTTCACATGAAGTTTCACCTCTTGAGATTGACATATTAGGTGAGAATCACAATCCTTGAGTTTCCTTGGCTGGCAGAGGGGGTGAGGCTGAGCCTCACTGAAACATCTTTATTGGAGGACCGGAGGCTCTGGATGCAAGATGCATCTTAAGAGGATCCCCGTGTGAAAACAAAAGAAGAAAATGGCCCACTCAAGTATGTTTTGTGCTGACTGGCAGCCACCAATCTTAACCTGATTTGCATCACGAGATTGAGATTGTTGTCTTCCAAAAGGAATAATAATCAGCACAATGGCTCAGTTCGCAACTTCCCGTGGATCCCGCAGACAATTCCAGGGTTTGCGCAACTCTTTGGTAGAAGCAGCTCAGGCGGTAGGGCTGGGGTCAGTTAGCCCACTTGTAATAACACCACATTTTCCCTGCTTTCAAATTCATGATAAATATTAATTGGAGCTTCACTTCATTTAGTAGTAATTAACTGATTTGACGTCGCCTTCTCAGAGGTGCATTATAAATCAAATTTGTAGGCAAATGAGCCCGTTGGAGGAGCTCTTTACGTTCTCTATGAATATTCACCGAGCACAGTCAGTGATTTTCCTCTGAGCATGTAAAGAAGGTAAAAGACTCTAATCTGAGGTAAGTACTAGGGAGCGTTTCATTTACTACTGCCATGTCCCGCTTGAAAGCAGCAGAGTCTGAATAGCAATAATGACGAGGAGAGCTGAATTAAAAGGGAAGTTGTGTATAAATAAAAGTATTCGTCACAGGATTCAGGTCAAGGTAATGCTACAGGGCAGGCCTCTGAATCTGAGCTGACGGTCTTGCCCCACGCTCTAGTCATTTGTTTTTGGCTTACCTGTCCTTTGTTGGAACTTCTCAGGTGACACGTGTAGATATGTGAACGTCCGCATCGGCCATCCTGTTAAGAGAACCGAAGTAGAGGAACTGTTGTTGCTGTTCATTGTGGGTTCTGTAGGAGTGATTGGGAAAAAGCTCTTAGGAGGTTTTCTCTGCAGCATTAATGGCTTGATTGATGAATTGATGGTTATAGAGAAAAATAACCAACCCTGGCCAGAAACGTTGGTCCTGTTCTGGACTCTAGAAAGTTACAAGAAGATCTCACAGATAGTAGTGTTAGATGAATATTATTTTCAGCCCATTTAGTGACAATGCAGAGAAGTAGTAAGAGACCCATAAAAGTGCATAAATGAATGTCATACTCCAACGTTTGGGGTTGGGTTTTTTTTTCCAATGAAAAATACTTAAAGGAATTGCCCAGATATTTTTGTCACAAAGATCCCAATGCTTTGCCTTAAGAGTGGTTTCTGTATGCCATTCTCAGGCAAGGTGTGGTAGGTGTGGTGTGGTAATGCTAGCACACTTTCTCATGTTGTAGTCCTGGCTTATGACTCATTTGCCCCATCCCTATCAACTAATTTAGCCATCTTTCCCGTAACCCACGTCTACATATCATTTAGACAATTTGGCTTATAATTAATGATACTGCTTATCATTCCAATGAAGCAAAAAGTTCTTGACTGCCTCTAAATAGTTGACATGACAGGATTGCCTTAATGACCAAATTAACTGAATGCATCTAATTATTCAAAGCATGAAAGCCTTCACTCGGTTACCAGAGAACAAATAGATTTTACCTGGAGATTAGGATATGAACAGATAGATATTTGAAAATCAGCACTAAGTTAACCCTCCTAGGTTTCAGCAAAAATGACGTGTTAAAAAGATTTTGTTAAGTAACAAATCCATTCTGATATGCAGACACAGAAGGACCAAAAAATAAAGTTAGGTTTTACAACATCGAGCACCTTGATGGTTCATTCACAACTAACACATTTTTTCCCATGTGAAATTTGCTTCTCTTTTTTCAACAAATCCAGGTCTTGGATGTTGAGGAAACTGTAGATCGTCAACAGGGTAAAGAGTATGACCATGACCTTAGTGAGACAGAAAAAGCTATAGTCAGAGAAATGTGCAATGTAAGTTTTATGTGCTTTATTGTGTATTTATTGTGTTGAAGCTCATCATAGTCAAGTCACCGCTTTATGAACACCTACTTTTTTGAAACGCTACCCCAACACTTCTACATTGTATATGAAAATAACACCTTTCCCTTTTGTTTCTCTCTTTAGCATATTTTCTTGCCATCTTATTATTAACACAGTTACATGTCTTCAAATATTTAAACCGTAGATGATCAGCCAATCCTATTCTAGAATAGTCTATGAAAGTTACAAAATGTTAAACAAATCATCTTAAACATGCATGGCATTCATTTTGATAGCAAGGTTTCTCTTTCATGCTTTTTTAAATGTTCCTGGAAGGTGATTGTTTAAAAACCTATGATAACAAACAGCCTTTTCCAGATTTGTCAATATACTTGGAAAAAAGATGCCAGTATGAGAGATAATATTTACTTGGTGTTTCCTGCATGATATGTGTGTTGTGTGTCACGCAATCTTTTGGTGATTGATACAAATTTTAAAATGGTAAAGTGACATAAATGCATATAAACATAAATAATTAGACAGATAGAAGTCTATCCATGAAGACGGAAGCAATAGAGACAAAAAAACCAACCAAACAAACAAACCAAAAAAAAAAAACAAACCAACCAGCCAGCTTGTTATATTTATGATGCACATCTAAGAAATCATTAATGTGATTTGGATTTTATTATTGAACCCTGTCTAAATTTTAATTATTTGAGTAATATACATGGGATGCATCATTTAATCAAGAATAATGAGATTTGCGAAGCTTATTAAAGAGCTAAATGGAATATTGTAGAGGAAACCGTTTATTAAACGCAAGGAATCATGGCAGATTATATTAAGCATTGATTTTAATTGGCTTTATATTGTGCTTTTATCGTCATATTTTTCATCCCCTGTGATTTCAAAATTGCCAGGAAATACCCTTCAGCTTAATGTCTGTTAGGACAGATCTTCTTAGACACTCAACTTAGATACCTCGTCAAGGTGTCCTTGAAATCTAGTAAATTCTACCTAATACATCTCTTGGGCATTTTATTATACATGCTATGGTCTCGGAGTTTTAGTCCTTCACTTACTGTGTTGTTGCTGCCTTTATGTATTTATTTTTTGCCACCTTTTCCAAGTAATTTGTTTTTCTTCCTTGCATCTCTGTTTTTGTTTACTTCCTCCCCTCCTCCCCCCCAAAAAAAACCCCACCAAAACCTCACCAAGTCTAGATATCATAATTTCCCAAATGTATAACAATTCATCTTCTGTAGTTATTCAACCCATCCTTCAAGTTTTCTATTGGAATATTTCCCTCCAAAGTATTTAAAAACTCGAACCACATACCTAGGGAGTGTCTGCTATGCTCAGCTGTTGACAGTGGAATGAGGAGTGGATTTCAGAGGATGGGAACCGGAGGAGGGACATTGAGGTCTGTGGGGAGCTCCTTTTTAATTCTGAGGTGTGGTTCCAACCAAGACCCCAGGCAATTTGGATAGGAACCCCAAGGTCAGGTCCAGAAAAATATGTTACTCAGTCAAATTACTTATCCTTAAAAAATGAAGTTTAAAGTTTATGAATCTCTCCTCTTGGATGAGTTCTTTTTCATTTCCCAAGTCAGGTAGATTTGAAGATGTCTCTTTTCTCCCCCCCCCACCCCCAAAAAAATGTGAACACTGGCTTGATTCTTGATAAGTTGCATGTGCATCTTTCTGTTGGACTGTGTTTCCCAAGGAATGCTGCAGAAAACACCACTCAGTGCTGTGTTTGGTATTTTCCGTGCATAACGTTTGCACAAGGCCAAAAGTTTGCTTGTGTCTCCTTAAAAGCTCTGTAGAGCACTTTTGCTAACTGTCCGCTTTCATCTTTGACCCTCAGAATTTGAGGGGAAAGTATCAGCCAATTAAGATACCATCCTTAGTACTCTGCAGATGACTCAGAAATCAACAGAAAGAAGTATTGATTTACAATACAATCACTCTTACCCACATGAATGATGTCAACATCTCAGTGAATTGTTTTTTGAGGGGGGAAAAATGCAGACTGTGATGTAGTCTCATCGATGGCTAAGTTCTGAGAAACTAGCAAAGATTAGGAGGCGTGGGTTCCAGCTTGAGGAGCAGGGGGCTCTCATAGACGCAGCACATCTCCTGAGGTGCGAGGAGCTAGAGGATTCATGTGGAGCATAGGAGAATGCACATTTTGACAGGGATGCTAGTGTTCTTCCTGGGAGATACATTGTTGACATTTGTAAGATGAAAAGACTGTTCTCCACAGCATCTTCCTGTCGGTTACTAAGCATGAGAGACTTTTATTCTCTTCCTAGACTGTGCTGCTGAAGCTGATGTGCTTGCCCCTGTGAGATAATAAACCCATCTCTAGTAGCTTTTCAGTGATGACTTTATATTTATGTTTGGCTGTTTGACTTTTGCCAGTTGGCTGAGCCACTTAGTCACTTCCGCCACAGTCTCAGAGACAATCTCTTGTGCGCCCCCTCCTTTAAAAAAAATCAACAAGTTACACTGCCACCTTTGTTCCAGAATTCTGTCTTTTGTAAAAGTTTGCTTTCACCCCATCATCCCACCTGGATGATGAAAGTCCATTGTGTATAATATTTGAATACTGGAAGAGTACAACACTCTGTTGTACTTTTGAGTTGTAATCATTTTATGCTTTGTGACTCTGATCCTTGGGAGGCCTTTGAATTCATCCTGGGCTGGTAGACCAGACCACGCTCAAAGGATCCTGGGCAGATACAATTGTATGTATTTTTAAAGCCTGGACACTGAAGCCTTAGATTCCACTTGGCTTCCTCATTCATTGTCCCTGTCTCTTTGTATTCAGCAAACCAAGAAATGAGACATTCTAACTCCCTATGTACAACTTGAACTGTATATTTAAGAACCAGAGTTACCAACCCCTTCAAGTGCACCAGAGCTTCCCTACCTGGGCGAGTCTCTCTACTGAAGTGTTCAAACCAGCAGTTCTGTTGGCTTAGAAATGCAGGTGGATAAGAACACTGCATTCTTACCATATTTTTTCAGAATAGCATTTCGTTTCCTCGGTATGTCCTCTTTTTAAAAACTAACGCAAACTAAATTGATGAGCCAACTTGTTGTGTTCATGTTAGAGTAATGGCAGCATGGTTTTTTGATGGTTTTTTTTTGTGGGTTTTTTTTTTAATGGAATTAACCAAACTGAATATTCTCTAAGTGAAACACTCCAGAAGGGTTGTGGATATGTGTGTGAGTGTCTGTGTCTGTGTTGGGGGTGTGTGTGTGTGTGTCTCTGTGTCTGTATGGGGGGGGTGTTCCAATCAGTATTAGTTTGTTGGTAGTTTAGTGATAAGGTTAGTGGTTTAATTTGTGCCTTTATAGTATTCATCACAACTATTGTTGTTGCCTCTTAAAAATGGTCCGTTTGTTAGGATGAGCCTTTTTTATCTCTTTCTGCCCTTCTTGAATCTACAACAGCAACAGCCCTGCATTTGGATGTCTTCCATCTCGGTGGCCAAGATTTGTGATGTCTGTGAGCTGCCCTTTTTTTTTCTCTCTCTCTCTCTCTCTCTCTCTCTCTCTCAAGGAAAGCCAAAGTCCTTTAGAGAATTAACCAGTGGCACCAGTGCTCCCCATCTAGAACCTCCATTTACCTCAAAATCAAAACCCCTCCCTTTTTCTCTATTAAACACCGGGCTTTCCTTCATCTTAGACATATAACAACCAGGATGAACTCCATCGGTGATTGTAATCCTGCCCCGACACCAGATTCCCCTTTGGAGCTCTTAAAAAAAAAACAAAACGCACATCCTCAGGTTCTTGATCCTCCCCAAGGCAGTCAGAGTTGAGATGGCCTCAAAGCAGAGCCAACTAAAGCAGCAGAGCTCTGATGGATTCAGGGTTACGTAAAGAGCTGCTGTGTTGCCAACCCTAAGGCATGCGGTTCGAATCCACCAGCTTTTCCATGGGAGAAAGATAGGCAGTCTCCTCCCGTGTGATTTACTGCGTATGAAAACCTGCTGTAAGGTCCACTCTGAGCTGGTTCCAACATCATGATACGTAACAGAAATAGCCACTAACTAGAGGAGGTTGACACAGCACTCACTAAATTTGACCCTGGCTGCCAATACAGTATTACCATAGTCCCCTGTCCTTAGCAGTACTTGTGATCCAGACACTTTGCATTACACTATATTGTGTTTGTATTTGCACGCATTCATGTCGATACTTGGTCTCTTGTCTTCTTACTCCATTCCATAATTTTCCCTTAAGAAAAAATTTTTTTTGTTTGTTTTAAATTACATGTCTCTTTGTGGAAGGGGTCACTTAAGATGCTTATTTTTTTAAAAAAAAATTTTTTTTATTCTTTTTTTCCTAAGGTTGTGTGGAGGAAACTTGGAGATGCTGCAGGTTCATGTCCTGGAATTAGGCAACATTTGTCAGGAAACCAGTACAAAGGACCGATGTGAGAGGCACGCCTTTGAACACGAAACCATCACTGCCAGAGATTACCAACAACAGCACCAAGGAAAGAGTGGATTTCCACAGACTCCCGAAATAACGTGATGTGATTATGGCACATATTTCCCTTGTACAATTCTTTAACCAACTTCTCCCTTCCAGCTGGTAGTCCGTATCCCTCACTTCAGTGTCAATGACAGTCGTTCTGAACTTAAGATTTTTTTTAAAAACACCCTTTTCTTGCCAATCTGTGTATTTGAACGTAGATGTCTCTGACTACTCTCCGGACTGAAGCTCTAACTGGCAGTCCGCTCAGTTGGGAGGGTCTGGTTGTACCTCAGTAATTGTGATAGGTTTGATTCATGGCAAGTAATGGTGGGGGTTTTCTGCCATGTTGTATTGCTAAGAAGGAATATTTCCCAGTCTCCAAAGTTTCAGTTGGACACACCTGGCTTTTGTTTCAGGCAGTTATATAGCACTTCTTGATGCATTTTTAATTTGTATGCGGGATAAGATTGGGATCCTGGGGTTTTGTATTGTTTTGACTTTTGCGGTTCTAACAAAACTACAGAAATTCTCCTTACCAGCTAGAAGGCATAGCAAGACTCTGTCGAGTTCTTAGAGAGTGCCATTCGTTTAAATTGATCGAAAGAATTCTCTTTCGTTTCCTTTTCATTTTGATGAACATGCATTTAGGAACACATCTTGAGGACATGTCAGAACCGTTAAGTACATCCATCGATGTTAATATTAACAATTTCCATTTACAAATAGACAAACATTTTTCTAAAATGTTTCCAGCTGTGAGATGTCAGTTTCTACAATATAGTTTCTAGACATGCTATTATATTTAGTAAACTTTAAGTAAACTTTAAAATACTGCACTGCATTTATTAAAACAAACAAAAAAAAGGCTTTCTTTGCTACAGCAGCTAACGTTTCATAAAACTGACGCATGTCCTTTGTTATTGAAGCTAAAAAGTGCTTCTTCAGATTGCTTGAGGTTTGAAAATAAAAAAAGAGGTGTGCTAGCTTCGCTTAGACAATTTCTTATTTTTTTGGTATATCTATATATACACATATAATACTAGACTGTGTGTATTGGCAATGCTATGATAGGTATTTTGTGCTTATCCAAATGCAATGATAGTTTCTTGTATGAATGTGCAAGGGACTTGTGGCAAAATGCTGTTGAGTTTTTACTGTAGTTTAAGATTATTCAAGTAGGAATGCAACAATTCCCAGGTTTTCAGATTTCTTCTCATTTATTCAGATTTTATTCATAGCCTAATAAGCCCCGTTGTTGTTTTTTAAAATGTGCTTATTCCAAAACACGTTGCTTATCATTGTTGGAGGAATGAGAAGGCATTTTGTTCTGCTTTAGAAGTTGCTGTGAAGAGCCAGCCCCTTGTTCTTGGAAACTATTTATTAATTCATATGCTATAGAATTATCTTTCTGTCGTCACTGGGTTGCTGTTGAAGCCAGCTTTCTTTTAAACTGTTACATATATATTTTTTAAATGTTATTAGTCTGTAAAAGAAAATTGCTTGCTATATTTACACTTTCTCTTGCAGAAGAGAGTCATGCTTAAATTGTTGTATTCCTATCCTCTGAAAGACATTGAAATCAAGTGTGTGTCTCTGCAGTGGAACCTGCAGAAGCTAATACAAAGGACTCTGGTCTTTTGACAAAAATACTTGTGTAAATTTTGATACTGTATTAAAACTATTTTTTTAAAGTTCTGCATAAAAACTGAGTATCAAGTATATGTGTTCATCTTAGCAATGGTAATAAATTATTTAATCTCACAGTGGAGTTTTCTTTCCTTCTTTAAGATGTTTTCGTTAATGAAGTAAAATTTCTCAGTCCCTGGATGATCCTTGTGATGGGAATAGTGACAACAATACAAGTGATTCGTTATTTTAAATATAAAAACAAAGATGTATTTTAAAATGTGTGTTCTTGATGTTGTTGTTATGTGCCATGGAGTCACCTTGATGCCTGTGACTTACAGGGACTCTTTGCACAATAGCTGTGAACCCTGCCCCCTCCTGAGACTGTTTCATTGATACTTACACCCACCCCCAGTACCCCAGTCACACTGTATCCAGCTCATCCAGGCTCTTACTTTCTTGTGCGGACAGTCTACCCTCCCAAACGTGATGTATTTCTCCAAGGACTGGTCCCACCTGGCAACATGCCCTCAGTATGTCAGACAGAGCTTCAAAATCTTGCCAACAAAGTAAGTGTACATTTTAGCGTGCTGTTTGAGAACCTTTCAAATGAATTCTGAGTTGGACATTTTCGGTGGTTCTTTCAATTAATATAGAATGAAATGTTAATTGTACTGTTACTGTTAACTTATGGCTCATATCATATACTAACAGATGCATGCCAAAGAATTAGAAAACTCAGCCACTAGGTTTTCGTTAGGGAACTCTGGTGGCCTAGTGGCAAGAAGCTTTGCTGTAATCCCAACGGTGCCTGGTTCAAATCCACTAGATGCTCCGCTGGAGAAGGAGGGGCAGTCTCCTCCTGTGCCAGTTGGGTCTGATTCAACAACACACAAGAAGAAGAAGAGGAGGAGGAGGAGGAGGAGGAGGAGAGGGGGAGGAGAAAGAGGAAGAGGCAGAAACAGCTTACATTATTGGGAGAAGATAAGGACTGAAGAGATAAAAAAAAAAAAAGAAAAAAACAACCAGTAAGAAAACACACACTGGCTCACACAGAACACATACTTTTTGTGGCAAACACTAATAAGACCTTGTAATGTAGCTTTCTACACTTAGTGTGTGTTAGTCCTACATGCTAAGTAACTTTAATGGTGTAATATGTGGACAGCACTCTTCAACAGGCCTGGGAGCGGCCCCATGAGTGGCCTTCAGGAGGCCAAGTCACATAGACCTACGAGGAACCAGAGCAGAGAGGTGAGCAGACTCCTGGGAAATGTGGTGAGCCAGAGGGCGTATGGGATACCAGTCCTGTCTGTGACTTCGAGAATTCGTGCCTGAGCAGCTCAGTACCTAAATCTTTGTGACATCTCAGTACATTGAGCAACCACAGTACGTGGCCTTGTTTTCTAGGTGACCTGCTTAACCCTGAGACCGATCCTGCCAAAATATTTCTGTCAGCTTTTTAAATGAATGCCTTTTAACTTTCTCATTCATGCCCCACGCATTGTGGAAAATAGAAACCAATTTATGTAATATCTTGTAAAATGTTTCCTGTCTTGACCATTGCTTAATTTGGGGGAATCGTTAATGAATCACCATCACTACTATATAAATTCGTTTGGTCCTATCCCTGATTTTTGCATACTGTCAAAAGATTCGTGGATCCGTAGTATTCTAAATGTCAATGGGGACTTCCATTGTCTGTAAGCTCTAGGTATGAAGGCTTCAAACATCCAAGTTCATGATCTGAGGACTTCTAAACCCTCCTCATGACCTGCCACTCGTTCTCAGAATTTAAACTCCACGACAGTCATTCCTGTTGCTGCTACCTCAGGGCCAAACGGATTTCTTCACTGAATACTAGAATCTCTGCTGCAAGCTGAATTTATCAAGGTAAATTCCCAAGAAAGGTAGAACACCTCTATGAGGAATTCATATATTGACTTCTAAGGGGATAACAATTTCTCCATTCTGTTTCAGTTAACAGGAGAATTCTGGTGCCTAAGCGGTAAGGAGTTGAACTGCCAACCCAAAGGCAGGTTGTTCGAATCCACCAGCTGCTCTGCAGGAGAAGAATGGGCAATCTCCTGTGAAATTTACAGCCTCTGAAAACCTGCTGGCACCACACAAGATAAAGGTAAATAACCCAGTTGCAAAATGGGCACAGGATATGAACAGACACTTCACCAAAGAAGACATTCAGATGGTCAACAAACACTTGAAGAAATGTTCAAAATCCCTAGCTCTAAGACAGATGCAAATCAAAACAACTATGAGGTATCATCTCACCCCAGTAAGAATAGCAAAATTTAGCAGAACAGCAAACAACAAATGCTGGCGAGGTTGTGGAGAAACTGGAACCCTTATTCACCGTTGGTGGGAGTGTAAAATGGTGCAACCACTGTGGAAGGCGGTATGGCGCTTTCTCAAAAAGTTGCAAATAGAAATACCACTTGACCCAGCAATTCCACTACTGAGAATTTACCCTAAAGAAATCAGAACTGCCACCCAAGCAGATAAATGCACACCCATGTTTATTGTCGCTTTGTTCGCAATAGCAAAGAGTTAGAAACAACCCAAGTGCCCATTAACAAACGAATGAATAGAGTTGTGGTATATTCACACAGTGGAATACTATGAAGCATTGAAAAGTAAGGATCTCATGAAATATTATGCAAAATGGATGACCCTGGAGGACTTTATGGTGAGTGAAATATCTCAGTCACAAAAAAAGGACAAATACTGCATGGTGCCACTGTTGTAAAATGGGGTTTGAGGGAAGACAGAGAAAAAGAGGAATGATGTACACTGCACTGTAACAGATGAGGGAGAGAACTGTTTAAAAGGGATATAGGATTGGATATTATTGTCATGACAGCGGTCCAGAATGAAGGCTGTGCAGTATAGTGGACTTGGGAGGGATTGCTTAACAATAAAAGAGTTTTTCTTTTTCTTTTCAAGGAGAAGAGTGAATTAAGGGGGGAAGAGGTGGGCAGGGAGAAAAGTGCAACAATGAATGATTATTGGAAATCCTAAGTCTTTGTAAACTTTCATTAAAATTAATTTTAAAAAAAAGAAAACCTGCTGGGCAGTCATCTTTGAGTAGATTTTGCCTCAGCAACAGTATTGGAAGAAATTATATATAAATTGAAATAAAATGTTTTAAAAGACTTAAGTGGCAACCACACGTCTGAAGCTCGCCTGAGGGACTGCACAGGAATTGAATTGACTACATCTGACAGAGACATGTGAGAAGTTCAATATCAGCAATTAAAACAAGGTTAAGAGCTGCCTGGTGGAACAGACTAACCATTAATCATGAGCAAGTTCAAAT